AAGCTGAAGCAGGAGGATCGCTTGAGCCCACAAGTTCAAGACAAGCCTGGGGAACATAGTAAGACCTTGTCTCTACAACAAAACAAAACAAAACAAAAAAACCAGGCATGGTGGTGCACACCTGCAATCCCAGCTTCTCAGGAGGCTGAGGTAGAAGGATCACTTGAGCCTGGCAGCGCAAGGCTGCAGTGAGCTAAAATTGGGCCACGGCACTCCAGCCCAGGCAACAGAGCAAGAATCTGTACCTAAAAAAAATATTAAACGTAAATAAAAATAAAACATGTGCTACCAAAATACATACTCAGTATTCCTCTAATTGGTATTGTAATTAGAACTTGAATACAGTGTAAATTGTGTAATTTTATCTACATTTCTCATTACATTAATAGCACTGACTTGCGTTTCAGTACATTTTGTCCAGCCTCAGTCTACTTTACCCATTTAGCCTAGAGAAAGACAACCTCATTGTTACCATAATGTGCACCTGTACTCAAAAATGCTATTCAGGCCGGGTGCAGTGGCTCACGCGTGTAATTACAGCATTTTGGGAGGCTGAGGTGGGCAGATCACAAGGTCAGGAGATTGAGACCATCCTAACACGGTGAAACCCCGTCTCTACTAAAAAAAATACAAAAAAATTAGCCAGGGATGGTGGCGGGGGCCTGTAGTCCCAGCTACTCAGGACGCTGAGGCTGGAGAACGGCATGAAACCGGGAGGCGGAGCTCGCAGTGAGGCAAGATGGAGCTACTGCACTTCAGCCTGGGCGAAAGAGCGAGACTCCGTCTCAAAAAAAAAAAAAAAAAAAAAAAAATGCTATCCAACTCCCTGCAATACTATCTTGAAAAATGTATCATAGGGAATAGAAATTTGGTTTTATGTGTTTAAAAAAAAAATCACTACATTTCCCACTGTGTGGATAGCAGGGGAAAAAATGCGTCCACTTTGAAGGTCCATGTTTAATAATGGTCAGATGCCAAATACACTGTATTAATATCAGTGAACAAAAGATATGGAGCTTCTCTCATATCTCCATCTGAATTAGATAGATTTTATACCTATGTAATAAACAGATATAGTTTATACCTATGTAATTTATACCTGTGTGTACTCGGTCACTCTATATACATACACGTGTGTGCGTGTGTGCACACAGACACACACATATATATACATATATACATTTACTTGAATTCAACCAGGTGCTTAACATGAAATAACAAACAGACTATAAGCTGTGAATATGTAAGGATAGTTACAATGTACAAGGAGAGTCAGTCACAGTAAATCTTTTCATTCTGAACAGCATTCCTTGCCCACCAATTTAGTCATTAAAACATGACTGCTATTTTTTGGAGAAAAAAATATAAATATTTTAAAATATAAACAAACATAGAATATTTACAAAAAAATTATATTTTTGTGAAACAACTATTTCACAAAATATTGTGAAAAGTTAATACAATAAATATTTTTTATATTACAAAGTGGAAATGATGAATACATTGCTCAATTTAAGTAGGAAAACGTCACTTGTACAATTTGCTTTTCTGGTTTTTCAATGCTTTCATGCCTGCTTTTAACCAAAGGAGAGAATACAACTGGTCTAGTTCCTCAGGGGATAGCAGCATTCAATCAATCATAGAGGAAAGGTAAATAAAAAGAAATTATTTTCAGAGACTCTAACATCCATCTATTCCTCCAATATCTTATTCTATCTTGTGTCTCTGCATCAGGGTGAATCACCAGAAAGCAATCTACTTTGACCACATCAGCTTAGCCCTTTAAAAGTCAGTTCTATTGATTTATCATACCTTAATGTCATGCCAAATGAATTTTTTTAAGAACAATTTAATTCAGGAAAAAAGTGGATAATACTGGCCTTCAGAGTTTTATATACTTTATAACTGTGAAACACTTTTCACGCAATTACATTGATCCTCAATCAGCACTGCAATCTACTGGCATTTTGCTGTTTTTATTTCCTCAACTTTTCTTTATTCTTTTTATTACATCTTCATTTGTGTGGTTTCAAATTATTTTAAGAAAGGAATGATATAGCTGTTTTTCAATAAAGATAATAGTCTTACTAATAAATACTTCAGGACTTTCCAAAGTACTGCCAATTTCTCACCTTCAGTTTCTCACATACTTAAAAGTATGTCTGAAGAGAACATGAAACAAAATGAAACATCTTATTAAAAAGCATTTTTAAAATTCCCATTACATGCAAATTGTTTAATCATCCTTGATCACAGCATAGTAGCAATGAAAGGCAATAATCAAGTACCTTATACTTATTCTATGCTTACAAATACACAGACTGGAAATCTACATATATCTAAAATGCAACTGGACATTCAAAAGATAATCCCATGAAACTCCTACCTAATTCTCTAAATTGGTTCTCTTTGTAACTAACTATATATTTTCAAAGCTATATTGTGTTTTAAAACAGATGTCACAATGACAAAATCCATTTTAACATTTTTATCAACAGAAAAATAATTATTTTATTACTTTTCTTTTATTTATTTAATATATATATATATTTTTTTTTTGAGAAAGAGCCTTCCTCTGTTGCCCAGGCTGGAGTGCAGTGGTGCGATCTTGGCTCACCGCAACCTCCATCTCCAGGGTTTAAGCAATTTTCCTGCCCCAGCCTCCTGAGTAGCTGGGACTACAGGCATGTGCCACCATGACCGGCTAATTTTTTGTGTTTTTAGTAGAGATGGGGTTTCACCATGTTGGCCAGGCTAGTCTTGATCTCCTGACCTCGTAATCCACCCACCTCGGCCTCCCAAAGTGCTGGGATTATAGCCGTGAGCCACCACGCCCAGCCGAGAAGTAATTGTTTTTCAATAATGTGTCATCTAGGAAAGTTATTATGATTCCATATTGCCTAACACAGTCCATATTCAAATTTATCCAATTGTACCCAAAATTTATAGCTTTAAAATATATGTATAAAGTTGAGGACCTGATCAAGGTCCTTGAATCTGATTGCCATGTCTCTTTAGTCTCCTTCAATTTTATATCGTCCCACCACTGTTCTGTTTTGTGTGTGTGTGTGTGATAACGACATGATTTATAAACCCAGGGCAGATGTCTTATGGAATGTACGTACTCTGAACTTGTCCGATTCATACTTTATAGTTAGATTTAAGTTAAATAGTTTTGGCAAAAATATTATACAGGTGATACTGTGTGTTTCACTGCATCACTTTAGTAGACACGTGTCAGTTTGTCCCATTACAGGTAATGCTAAGTTTGACCACCAGATCTCTCCACTATAAAGGTATATTTTTCTCTTTGCAATTAACACATAATTGGTGTTGTCATACCTTAAGACCATGTAAATATCCTGTTCACCTACAGCCTTTCACCCAATGGTTTTAACATCCAATGATTGATGATCCTTGCCTGGAGTCAATCATTAGTGCAAATTAGTGATTTTGTAATTTTATATTTTGTCTACATTTTAAGTGTCATTTCTTCTGTAACGAACAACTTTATATTTCCCCCTTTTCTCTCTTTGTAACAAAGTGAGTTTTTTTTTTTTCAATTTTAAAGTATGATTATGGACTTACAAATTCTCTTTCACATAATGTGTTATAATCCATACCTACCATTATTCTTTTAGATGTTCAAATTGTTTCAAGTTTTGATGGTAGGAAACTTTCGAATAGGCTCCTGTGCCTTTTTGACATGTCCCCATCAGTTTTTGAGTACGTTCTTGCTTTCCGACACGGTATGTTCCAGGACCTCTTTGCCCCCCATTAAGAAATCAGGAACTTCTCTAAGAAACATTGCCTCCTTTTGGTAGGAAACCATATTTGGAACCCAAAATCTACACCCTGGATATATTCATTCTTACTGGGGCTTCTAGGCCCTTTCCTTGGACTGAGATAGAAAACAAATTTTTTAAATCTATGAGTTAATATTAATGCCACCAATTCAAAAATAATACCACAGTACACTTTCTAATTTCATCCCATTCTCCTAATTAATATCTCCTAAGAACCCTGGTTCCCCCTAATCCAGTAAAATTATTTCTTTGCTCTATCCTATATTACAAACAAAATAATTTCAAGATTACTACACATGTAGTTAAGGATGGGAGTGAGACTTCTCTGTTTTTATATAGTTGTGACTTTTGAACTATGTAAATGTTCACATGTTGAACATCTGATTATCTACTCCTTATGATAATTGTTTTACTGGTCTCTGGTTTAATCCTTCGGTGCTTCTCTTTTGCAAAAATAAACTATTTTTTTTTCTTTTTTGTGGAGAACAGTATCTCGCCATATTGCCAGGCGGGTCTTGAACTCCTGGGTTCAAGCTGTCTTCTCACCTCTGCCTTTTGCAAATTTTGTCCTTAGAATATTTCCCTCTGAGTCTGTACAATCAGAATAATATGTTTAAAAGTTACTTAAGCCAAGAAGTATATGGAAAAATGCTCAGTATCACTAAACATCAGGGAAATGCAAATCAAAACCACAATAAGATATTTTATGTCACCCCAGTTAGTATAGCTACTATCAAAAAGACAAAACAAATGCTGGCAAAGATGCAGAGAAAAGGGAATTCATACACTGATGGTGGGAATGCAAATTAATACAGCCATTATGGAAAATGGTATGGAGGTTCCACCAAAAAACTAAAAATAGAACTACCAATCTCATTACTGGGGTTATATCCAAAGAAAAGGAAATCAGTATGTCAAAGAGGTGTCTGTGTTCTCATGTTTATTGCAGCATTTTTCACAATAGCCAAAACATGGAATCAACCTAAGTGTCCATCCACAGACAAATGGATAAAGAAAATGTGGTTTATTTACACAATGGAATACCATTCAGTCATTAAAAAGAATGAAATCCTGTCATTTGCAGCAACATGGATGAACATGGAAGACATTATGTTAAATGAAATAAGAAAGGCACAGAAAGATGAATACTGCACATTCTCATTCATATGTGGAAGCTAAATAAATTGATCTCACAGAAGATGAACAAGACAGTGGTATCTAGAGGTTGGGAAGGGTAGAAAAAAGAAAAGGATAGGGAGAGGTTGGTTAATAAATATAAAATTATCCTAGATAAGAGTTACAAATAATTTATTGTATATTTTCAATTAGCTAGAAGAGAGAATTGTGAATGTCTCAACACAAAGAAATTATAAATATTTGAGGTAATGGATACGCTAATAACCCTAATTAATCATTACAGTGTATACATGTATCAAAATATCGCTCTGTACTACACAAATATGTACAATTATTATGTGTCAATTTAAAATATAGTTTTTAAAGCAACTTAAAAGGCCAGGTGCCCTGACTCACACCTGTAATCACAACACTTTAGGAGGCCACAGTGGGTGGATCCTTTGAGTTTAGGAGTTTGAGACCAGCTTGGGCAACATGGCGAAATCCCATCTCTATAAAAAAAATACAAAAATTAGCCAGACATGGTGGCACATGCCTGTAGTTCCAGTTACTTGGGAGGCAGAGGTAGGAATATCACTTGAGCTCAGGAAGTTGAGGTTGCAGTGAGCCAAATCACGCCACTGGACTCTAGCCTGGGTGACAGAGAAAGACTCTGTCTCAAAAAAATTAAAACTTAAATAAATAAATGAAAGCTATTTAAGTTTATTTTTTTGGTGATTACGTCGTGAATTTGTAAGGCTCATTTGTTCTTGTTTGTTTTGAATTTTAGGGTTCGCTTTTGTGTGTGTGTGTGTGTGTGTGTGTGTGTGTGTGTGTTTGTTTTTGTTTTGAGATGGAGTCTTGCTGTGTTGCCCAGGCTGGAGTACAGTGGTGCGATCTCGGCTCACGGCAACCTCTGCCTCCCAGGTTCAAGCAATTCTGCTGCCTCAGCCTCCCCAGTAGCCGGGATTACAGGCGCCTGCCACCGCAACCAGCTAATTTTTGTATTTTTAGTAGAGACGGGGTTTCACCATGTTGGCCAGGCTGGTCTCAAACTCCTGACCTTGTGATCTGCCCGCCTCAGCCTCCCAAAGTGCTGGGATTACATGCATGAGCCATCATGCCCGGCTGGGTTTGCTTTTTAAAAATCATTTTTCTTTACCTTTTTTGTTTCAATACATGACCATTTACATGGGTCAAAAGTCACAACTATAAAATCAGAGTTAGAAAAATCTCACTCCCATCCCTATTTCCTCCACAGTGCTCTTCATCCAATCCTTATCATAATTATTTTACTGGTCTCTGGTTTAACCCTTTCTGTGCTTCTCTTTTGCAAAAAATAAACGATATCTATAAATATACTTTCCCTTTTTGTGGAAAACAAGCTCTCACTATGTTGCCCAGGCTGGTCTTGAACTCCTGGGATCAAACTGTTCTCGCCTGTGCCTCGCTAAGTGTTGAGATTACTGGCATAAGCTGCTTTGCCTGGCCAGACTACATATTTTTTATTTTCTATTCTTTCATATGAAAAAGGGACCATACTCACTATATCTATATACATTGTATATCTGGAAATCTTTCCATATCAGTACATAGAAATCTTCCTTATTCTTTTTAGTATTCTATTCTATTCAATTCGTCTCCTCTGGACAGACATTTAGGTTTTTTCTGCTATTACTAACAATCCTATAATGAAAAACTTTGAGCATATGTTATTCTATATTTGTACAGGTGGTTCATCAGGATAAATTCCTAGAATTTGGACTGGTAAGTCAAAGGTAGGTGATGGTATAATTTGGTAGATACTACAAAATTCTCATAAAATTACACCGTCACATTCCAGTCAGCAACATAAGTGCCTGTTTCTTCACAGGCTTGCCAATTAAGTATATTCTGAGCTTTTAACTTTTGCCAATCTGCAAAGTAAAAATGATCTCTCTGTATATTAATTGGCATTTCTCTTATTATCAATGAAATTTGAACATCTTTACAAATATTGTCATACATCATATCTTTTTTTTGGTGAACTATCCATATATTTTGTTCATTTTTAAAATCATAAGTTAAACACTTATTTCAATGTAAAAAAGAATTCAATAATCCTATAATGATGGCTTCAAACTTTGTTCCAAAAAAAGAATATTAAACAATGAAAAAACAATGTAAGAACTAACTGAAAAGAATACGAACAACCCTTAAAACTATATCGTTATATTCTATACTGTGTTCCAAACAGTCCACTAAAAAGTGGAAGTTAAATCAAATGAGAAGGATTAAGAAAAATGTATTCAAGTTATAATTTTATGATATCAATTAGTGTTAAGTGGTTTATCTCACAAACAACCAAGTCACTGAAGAAGGTGAAAGTTTGGGAAACACATGGTTGAGAGACATTTTTTGGTAGCAGTTTCATTACACCCACCTCGCAAGTACAGGTAATTCTTCGAGGATGAGGGGCTTCCTGTTGTAGCTGATATACTGTGAGAAGGTAGAAACAAAAAGTGTCAATGTCCCTTCCATAGAACTTATCAATATATTAGAAATAAAAACCTGGCTGCTTTTTATGTTCACAAGAAAACTGGTATAAGCTTATTTATTAAATGGTGTTATGAACAAAACAAAGAAAGTAAACAAAACTACATTTAGTGAAAGCCCAGGAGCAATAAAAACAGAAAAATCATAATCCAAATAAGTGTCTTTTTACCTTGTAACAAGTCAGTGCTGGATATTTGGCTCTGTTCTCTGAAATCTGGTCATTTATTTTTCCCAGTTCTTTGTGGGGATATTAAAGGATGTCTTTGATATAAACCAATAATGGTTATATATACATATATTTAAAGCATGTTATTGTCAAGCTTGAAACTAAAATCAAGATTTACAGGCTAAATGTAATGGATACACTGTTTTTCTCCCCTATTTATATTGCAAACATCTACCTTCAAAGATAATCTTCCTCTTTCCCTAAAAACAAAAGTTCTGAGCCAAAGTTACCACTGCTTATTCAACTAGGGCAAATATGGCAAAAGAAAGAATTCAGATATTCAAATAACTTGCCAAAAGAGTGAATCATTTTCAGGGCATACGAAAATGTATCAGTGAAAATTATACCGATACCATGACTTCCTTCTAGCCTCACTTCAGACTTTTTTATTTAAAATGAAAAAAGAATGAATAGGATGTGTGGTTACATATGTCTAAGTTTATCTCTTAGAGATTTTTTTCTATTTCTACATATATAATCACATATAATTTAATATTCTAAATACTTAAGATATTTTGTCAACATAACATCAAACTACCCAGTAATCTGGGACCATCAGGTAACAGATGACTCAGATTTCAAAGGGATATCATTACACAGACTCTACTTCTGACCACACTGATTCATCTATATCATAGGAACATATATAGAATAAATGCAATTAGACTATACATATATACACACATACATAATTAGCCTGTGTGTGTACATATAAATGTGTGTGTATATATACACTCTCTCTCTACACACACACACAGTGAACACACACAGATACAATCACCATGTGTACTTCTATGCAAAGGGGATACAGCACTGTGGTTAAGAATTTGAACTCTTGAATCGAACAATCTGGAGTCTGAACACTGGGGCTCCGTCACTAACACTGCATTCTGTGCCTTCATTTTCCTTATTTGCAAAATGGGATTAATAATAATTTCTACTTCACAGATAAGGATATAAATAATTTATGTAAAAGATGTAAAATAGTCCCTAGCTCACAGTAAATGCTCAATGAAAATTACTCATTATTATGCATAGGTGACTGGTATTAATACATAAAATTCTTTATAATAATACTTGATTACTAGGATGCATCTTGAGTTCCTCACTAAAACATAGTATCAGAGCAATGCTATAATTTAAAAGGAACTGAGAAAATACAGCTTTATTGTTTAAAAATCAAACACAAAACCACTTCATCAGTAATGTTTAAATTCTACTGGTAGAAATGTGTTCCTTTACCTTTTTCTCCTGATGGCAAAAGTCCCCAAGAGAAGTAATACATTAAAATAGTTTTAGATACCCATATTTCATTGAGAGAGTTAATAAGAAATATTCCTATGGATACAGTTTTATATATTGTTATGAGATGACACAAAGAGAGTTAATTCTGAGGTAGAAAAGGGAAGAAAAAGCACTAAAGTCAAATTTGTCTGGCCCTGATAATGAAAAGTACATGTGTATCACCCCATGATATGTGTAAATCTCCACCCTCCTTAAAAGCGGCCAAAACATGATTTGTAAGAAAGAAGCGTTCTTCAAGGGCCAGGCACAGTGGCTCCCACCTGTAATCCCAGCGCTTTGGGAGGCCCAGGTGGGAGGATCATTTGAGCTTAAGAGACCAGCCTGGGCAACATAGCGAGACCCTGTCTCTAAAAAATGTAAAAAGAAAAAAAAAAGATTCTTCAAGTCCATTCCTCCATATTGGTAACCATAAGGCAAAAATTCAGTTCACATTTCTACTTTGATCAGTAATTCTCAAAACATTGGTATTTCCCTTTGTCAAGAAAATGCTCTGGAAAGTGCTGCCATCTATGAAAATCCAATTCTGAGAACTGAATGATAGTCAAGAAGAACATTAAAAGTTAATACAGAAAGTAAAATGTCGATTTTGACTCAAAGCACAAATACTGTAGTATCTGGTTATCAGCAGTAAGCATTTGCCTGTTCAGTAAGCATACATTAAGATGAGCCACTATGAAAAAAGGGGAGACAATATTGTCATATGAGAATTGATCTGGGTTTCAAATTTGTTTCATCAGAGTTTCAAAGGGTACAGTATTTTCTTAACATTAAGTCACATAAGGTTATTTACTTTTCAGTTTCTTTCAAATCCTCTTAATTGTCTCAAAGGATAAAGCTCTATTTCATAAAGAGAAACTTTTAGACAAATGCTTCCTGATTGGCTACCAGTGGTTACCAATGGTTAATCTACCTTTAAGACTCGCTTTCTTTAATTCCTGTTTTTTTTTTTTTTTTTTTTTTGAGACAGTGTCTCACTTTGTCATACAGGCTGGAGTACAGTGGCACAAATACAACTCACCGCAGCCTCAACCTCCCGAGTTCAAGCAATCCTCATGCCTCAGAACCCAAGTAGCTGGGACTACAGGCACACACCACCACGTCCAGTTAATTTTTTTTTTTTTTTTTTTTAAGACGGAATCTCGCTCTGTCACCCAAGCTAGAGTGCAGTGGCATGATCTCAGCTCACTGCAAGCTCCACTTCCCAGGTTCATGCCATCCTCCTGCCTCAGCCTCCCGAGTAGCTGGGACTGCAGGCGCCCACCACCACGCCTGGCTAATTTTTTGTATTTTTAGTAGAGACAGGGTTTCACTATATTAGCCAGGATGGTCTCGATCTCCTGACCTCGTGATCTGCCCGCCTCAGCCTCCCAAAGTGCTGGGATTACAGGTGTGAGCCACCGCGACCAGCCTAATTTTTGTATTTTTTATAGAGACAGGGTTTCACCATCTTACCCAGGCTGGTCTCAAACTCCTGAGCTCAAGTGATCCTTCCACCTTGGCTTCTTAAAATGCTGGGATTACAGGTGTGAGCCACTGTGCCTGATCAAGTCTTGGATATTTTATAACAAATATAACAAATTTGGATTCAAAAAACACCTATCAAAAAGATCATTAAAAAATTATACAAAGTAATGACGTCTAATTCAGGCCCTTCTCTCTCAGTTTAGAATTTTTGATAATTTGAATTGGAACTCAGCTGAATTTAAATCAGCACAATCATTAAAAGATTCACCAAAAATTAATAGCTAAATTCAAGATGAGGGAATATATGATTTAAGTACTTAATATCTTCAATCACCTTAGAAGTGTCAATCATATATACTTATTAATGAAATTCTCAATCCCTACAGACAATAAATTGTTCATCAAGTCCAAAGATCACAATTGGTATCTTGAAGTCAAAATTGGCCCACATGTGTTTTGTTTGCTGTCTTTTAAATTTGAGTAGGTATTTAACATCAAAAAATTAAGAAACTTAAGGACAACAAAAGCAAAAGAGAATGCCAGCCTCTCTTGAAAACTCAGATCTAGCAATATTGAACCCAGAGTCTAACAAGACAATAAAAGATGCTAATTTTGAGCTACTCTCTATAGACAGGGTCTCCATGGTCTACTGTCTCAGAGTCCTAATCTGGCTTGCTTGCCTCATTTATTACATGTAAGGTTCCTGGTTTAATTCACACAACAAGTATTGAAAAGCAATAAAACCATATTTGTTTAAAAAGAGTCCAAAACTTAGACTTCTTGCTAATTTTATTTCCCTATTGGTTTATATTTGTAAGACTTCAGAGTTACATTTTAACAAGATCAGTGGAACTAACAGTAAGAAGTACAAGATAGGCATGGGTAAAATAAGTTTCTTCTAGAATCAAATTGTGAAATGCTGTTCAGATTCCACCATGCCAAAGATAGAAAAACAAAACACACTAACATGTAGCAACTTTTGACATTAAATTAAATCATCTTGTTTACTTTTATAGATCTATTACAGAAGTGAACAATTAGAATTTCTTGAGTAGCTTTCAATGGGTGTACCGCCTTACATGAATTGACATACCTAATTATTTTTAAAATTTCAGCCCATGTCTATTTCATTACCATTTTAAGAATTTTTTAATAATTAAATTTAAGTCACATTACGGAGATGCTGAAGCATTACAGTTTGTCGGTCCCAAAGAGTATTAGTAGAAAATATTGTCAATTATCAATTCTAAACTGTATACATATATCTGGCCTAAGATTGTCATGGCTCAAATATTAAGGAAACTGAACAATGCTTCCTACCTCAGTTATTTAAAATTCCAGTCTCTATTGATGACATCAGGGTATTACAGGCCTATCAGTCTTTAAAATTTTTCCTACTAAAATGTAAAGACTCCTAAGAGATGAAGTCCTTAAGGTACAATTAATAAACATCTTACTGAAGATTATTTAGAGCTAGTTGTAAAAACTGTAAAACTGCCTGAGTGGTAAAGATAATATAAACAAAAAGTTCAACTTAATCACATTTTTTTCTAAGATCGGAATTTGACAAACACAATAACCATCTATATGATCATAAAAAGTCATCATTAGAATGCATTTATTTATTTAATATGAATGAATAAATGAATGAGACAGGGTCTGGAGTTCAGAGTCCTGATCAAAACTCACTGCAGCCTCCACACCCCTTGGGCCCAAGTAATCCTCCCACCTCCACCCCGGAAGCAGTTCCTCCCACCTCCACCTCCCAAGCAGCTGGGACCACAGGAGGGCAACACCATGCCCAGCTAATGTTTTTATTTCTTATTTTTTGGTAGAGATGGGATCCCCGTATATTGGCCAGGTTGGCCTCAAACTTTTGGGCTCAAGAGATCCTCCCACCTCAGTCTCCCCAGACTACTAGGATTACAGGCCTGAGTCACCATGCCTGGCTGCAATTTTTATGTTTCCTCATTTGTTAAAATTTGTACATACTCAAATCTTGGAAGATTAATATCATAATCTTATAAGAAAATTTCCAAAAAGGATTTTTCCACTTGCTTTTAATATAGTTTAATTATAAAATTTCCTTGAATCAGAAGTTTTTTTTCCTTTGACAGTCAAAAGATAAAATATTTATTTTAATAATTTCCTACACATTTCTACTATTAAAATGATTATGGGGAGTTCAGACACTGAAGTCATTAAGAGAAATGATAAAACTCAGTAACAGAATTATAGTCTTATTAAAGAAAGATTCAGCTGGGCACAGTGGCTCACACCTATAATCCCAACACATGGGAGGCCAAGGAGGCAGGATCACTTGAGGTCAGGAGCTGGAGACCTTCCTAGGCAACACAGTGAGACCTTGTAGTCTACAAAATAAAATTTTTAAAAATCAACCTGTGGTCACAGCTACTCAGGAGGTTGAAGCGGTAGGATCACTCGAGCCCAGGGGGTCAAGGCTGTAGCATGCCAAGATTGCACCACTGAATGCCAGTCTGGGCGACAAAGTAATAGCCTATCTCTTTTTTTTTTTAATGTGTTTTTTTTGTTTGTTTTTTTTTTTTGAGACAGAGTTTTGCTCTTCACTCTTGTTGCCCAGGCTGGAGTGCAATGGTGCGATCTTGGCTCACTGCAATCTCTGCCTCTCAAGTACAAGGGATTCTCCTGTCTCAGCCTCCCAAATAGCTCGGATTACAGGCATGCGCCACCACACCCAGCTAATTTTTTGGTATTTAGTAGAGACGGGTTTCACCATGTTAGGCTGGTCACAAACTCCTGACCTCAGGTGATCTACTCGCCTCAGCCTCCCAAACTGCTGGGATTACATAAATGCCATTTTTTAAAACAAATGATAGCTACTGCAGGACATGCAAGATATATGAAGCTACAAAAAATACCAATTGCATATACTACATTTACTAATTGATATTTTTCACAGAGGAAAAGATCACCACAAACTCAATAATAGTCTGAGGCTTCATAAATGTTCTTATATTTAAAATGTGCAGGGTGCAAGTCAGAGTCAGAGAATAAAGATAAACTGAAAACCAGAAAATGCAGAGAAGTTTTTGTTGTTGTTGTTGTTGTTGTTTTGTTGTTGTTGTTGTTTTGATACGGAGTCTCACTCTGTAGCCCAGGCTGGAGTGCAGTGGCATGATCTTGGCTCACTGCAACCTCTGCCTCCCTGGTTCAAGCAATTCTCCTGCCTCAGCCTCCCAAGTAGTTGGGACTACAGGTGTGTGCCACCACACCCAGCTAATTTTTGTATTTTTAGTAGAGCTGGGTTTCACCATGTTGGCCAGGCTGGTCTCAAACTCCTGACCTCAGGCAATCCGCCTGCCTCAGCCTCCCAAAGTGCTGGGATTACAGGCATGAGCCACAGCGCCCGGCCAGAGAAGAATTTTAAATAGGCTTCCAGCCAATGAGATTACGAGACAAAATCTTTAGGAGGTAAAGAACATTAGTCATTTTTACATATTCGTATAACTATACTCCCAAGGGAAAAAGAAAAAGGCACCAGCAGCGTTGGGGCAAAGCATCTATGGCAATATTTTTAAAGATTGTTCATGTTTTACTTATAATTAGCCCAAAGTGGCAATCTATTAAAAACAAAATTATCTCTTCTGAGAACATAAGACCAATGAGAATCTGAATCGCTGTTCCTTCAGTGGGCAAATTTCAGCAACCTACAAACATCAAATTTATAATAAACCTCAACATTTACAAAGATGTTAATCTATAATTAAAGTACAGGTTTCTTAGGCTGCTAATTCAACTACAGAAACAAACAAGAACTTATAGTGCTTTTCCATAATAATGCATTCATAAATTTTAAAAAACCATTTTGATTATATTAGCCCTATTTCAACTCTTAAAATCTGAAATATCCTTTACTTGATGAAATAATATTCTCTAGAAAACAAGGAAAGGAAAACAAAGAACTAAAACCCTAGACGTTTAAAAAGAAATATTTATCCTAACGCAGTTTAAAGAGCAGCATGGAATCAAGTATCTCCCTTATATTTTGGGAAAGTAATTATTTAAAAGTTAGATCACCTTTGTTTTTTTTTTTTTTTGCCTCTTTTCACTTATTCTTTCTGTCAACATAGCCTCCTGAATTATTGTCATTTAAATATTCCTTTCTTCACATAAAGCAACAGGACCTGAAAATAATTAGACTGTTTGAATTCTCAGTGTCTCCTTGTATTAGCTTTATTAACCACTCTTAACAAGTGGTCTCAAGTTTCACTACACGGAATTCATGCAAGCTCAGAGGGATGAAATGCATTCCAGACAGAAAACCATACACTGAACAGACTTTGTGGAAACACTTACTTAACCACAATTACTTCTATGCTATTCCCAAACCTTGTTGTAAATTAATTTTTCAACAATGGATACAAAATGGAATTTCTATCTAATAATCCCATATTTTTATATTACTTATAAAGCACTATAACCCACACAATTAAATTTATTTGTAGACTTACAGTAAGATTTCCAAACAGGAGGTCTATATTCATCTGTATCTGAAAGAAAAAACATCAAATTAACATTACCGAACATTTAAATTTTAAATGAGACATTTTAATAATTAACTCATTTAATACATATTTGAGATCTATTTGTTCTAGGTATTGTGCTAGGCATGCAGGGGCATTCAAGGGTTTTTTTTAGCCTTGGTCCTTAGTTGGAGAAATTTTCCAAAGATGTTTAAAGAAAGTTATTGTATTTATTCAACTGCTTATTACATAAAACATCAAGGTTAACTTTTACTGCTGGTACTCATTTCTTACTATCACTGAAGTAATAGTCAATAAAGGCTTTGTTTCTTTGGGCTTAATGATTATTTCACTGAAAGATCCCTAAAATTATTGAATTTTTCTTTTTCAGTCAAATTTACCAGATTAATAATTTTAATTACCCCCAAAGTTAAGTATTTCTATTATTTTCCCCCATTACATTTAGGGGATTCCAATGTACATGGTTTTACTAACATGAAGAGAGAACAGCAAGATTCAGATCTCAGTCCTCACACATCCTGGACAATCAAAACCAGGAAATGAGAAACACTTCAATGGAAGAGAGCGTATCTAGGGAACGACAACGAACATGAGGTGAACATCTGCTCTTCAAGTCCATTTCCCCTCACGTTGCCTGAGTGCAGATGTAGGAGACAGTATAAATAGGAAGTGGAAAGAGATGAAAATACAAACACATGAGGGACGTGAAGTAATCAGAGAAAGGAGGAGCCAGTGTGGTCTGGCTTCTCATCAGTAAAGTATAGCTGGGGGCTAATTTTGCCAGCCAAAAGCTCTGCCTGCAAGACTATATAGCCAAGACTACAGAAACATTTTTTGGTATAAAGATATGGGCCGGGTGCGGTGGCTCAAGCCTGTAATCCCAGCACTTTGGGAGGCCGAGACGGGCGGATCACGAGGTCAGGAGATCGAGACCATCCTGGCTAACACAGTGAAACCCCGTCTCTACTAAAAAATACAAAAAGCTAGCCGGTCGAGGTGGCGGGCGCCTGTAGTCCCAGCTACTCGGGAGGCTGAGGCAGCAGAATGGCGTAAACCCGGGAGGCGGATCTTGCAGTGAGCTGAGATCTGGCCGGTGCACTCCAGACCAGGCGACAGAGCGAGATTCCGTCTCAAAAAACAAAAAAAAGATATGGCCAGCCACATCACCTGGCTCTGCTGGAAACCAACATGAACCCATTAGGCAATCTGATCCTAAAATCTTCATCTTCAAGGAAGCAAAAAAATCCCTGGAAAGTTTATTGAGAAAACTAAACAAGCAGCTCAGGTAAAATGATCATAGACGAAAGACATTCAGCCTCCAATTTGCAACCTTTAAACTGCAATATCACACTTGGTTTATAATGTGTTATCAAAAATCACACAAATACTTTGAGAAAAAGGGTTATAGCAAGACTACTAATAGTGGGCATATTAACATAACATGGAAATTTTAAATCATGTGGAAATTGCTTGGGACCCCATAGGAGTGTTCAAATATGTCTGCTTCAAGATGCTTCAATGAGCATCCAAATTGGTAAGGAGGAAGTCAACCTGTCGCTGTTTGCTGATGACATTATCGCACACATAGAAAACCCTAAATACTCATCCAAAAAGCTCCTAGAACTGGTAAATGAATTCAGCAAAGTTTCCAAAGTTAATGTACACGAATCAGTAGCTCTGCTATACACCAACTGTGACCAAGCTGAGAATCAGGTCAAGAACTCGATCTCTTATACAAAAGCTGCAAAAAACAAACAAACAAAACAAAAACAAAAACGAAACTTAGGAATACACATAACCAAGAAGGTGAAAGACCTCTGCAAGGAAAACTGCAAAACACTACTGAAAGAAATCATAGATGACACAAACAAATGGAAACACATCCCATGCTCATGGATGGGTAGCATCAATATTGTGAAAATGACCACACTACCAAAAGTAATCTACAAATTCAATGCAACTCCCATCAAAATATCACCATCATTCTTCACAGAACTAGAAAACACAGTCCTAAAAATCATATAGAACCAAAAGAGAGCCTGCACAGCCATAGCAAGACTATGCAAAAAGAACAAATGTGGAGAGATTACATTACCCAGCTTCAAACTATACTATAAGGCCACAGTCAGCATAGTACTGGTATCAAAATAGGAATATAGACTACTGAAACAGAATAGAGAATCCAGAAATAAAGCCAAATCCTTACAGCCCACTGATCTTCAACAAAGCAAACAAAAACATTAAGTAGGGAAAGGACACCCTATTCAACAAATGGTGCTGGGATAATTGGCAAGCCACACACAGAAGAATGAAACTGGACCCTCATTTCTCACCTTATACAAAAACCAACTCAAGATGGATCAAATACTTAAATCTAAGACCTGAAACCATAAAAATTCTAGAAGATAACATTGGAAAACCCCTTCTAGATATTGGCTTAGGCAAAGACTTCATGACCAAGAACCCAAAAGCAAACAGAACAAAAGCAAAGATAAAGAGATGGAATTTAATTAAATGAAAGTTTCTTCATAGCAAAAGAAATAATCAGCAGAGCAAACAGACAACCCACAGAATAGGAGAAATCTTCACAATCTATACATCCAGCAAAGGACTAATATCCAGAATCTACAAGGAACTCAAACAAATCAGCAAGAACAAAACAAGCAATCCTATCAAAAAGTGGGCTAAAGACACAAATAAACAACTTTTAAAAGATGATATGCAAACAACGTGAAAAAATGCTCAACATCACTAATTACCAGGGAAATGCAAATTAAAACCACAAAATGGTATCACTTCACTCCTACAAGAATGGCCATAATCAAAAAATCAAAAAATAATAGATGGTGTGGATGTGGTGAAAGGGAACACTTTTACACTGTTGGTGGGAATGTAAGCTAGTACAACCACTATGGAAAACCATGTGGAGATTCCTTAAAGAACTAAAAGTAGAGCTACCATTTGATCCAGTAATTCCACTCCTGGATATCTACCCAGAAGAAAAGAAGTCATTATATGAAAAAGACACTTGTACACGCATGTTTATAGCAGCACAATTCGCAATTGCAAAGATACGGAACCAGCCCAAATGCCCATCAATCAACAAGTGGATAAAGAACATGTGGTATATATATCTATATATCTACATATAGAGAGAGACAGACATATATATACACACCATGGAATACTACTCAGCCATAAAAAAGAATGAAATAATGGCATTTGCAGCAACCTGGATGGAAGTGGAGACCATTATTCTAAGTGAAGTAACTCAGGATTGGAAAACCAAACATTGTATGTTCTCACTTATAGGAGGGAGTTAAGCTATGAGGGTGCAAAGGCATAAGAATGATACAATGGACTTTGGGAAGTGAGAGGAAAGGATGGGCGGGGAGAGGAATAAAAGACTACACATTGGGTACGGTATACACTGCTCAGGTGATAGGTGCACCAAACTCTCAGAAATTACCACTAAAGAACTTATTCATGTAACCAAACACCACCCAAAAACCTATTGAAATAAATAAATTGAAAAACAAATGAAAAATAAAGAAAATGTGGTATGTACACACCATGAAATACTAAACAGCTATAAAAAAAGAATGAAATTATGTCCTTTGCAAAAATATGGAGGCAGCTGGAGGACACTGTCCTAAACAAACTAACACAGGAACAGAAAACCAAATACCATATCTTCTCACTTATAAGTGGAGCTAAGTTTGAGCACATAAGGATATAAATATGACACAATGTCTACTATGGACTACCAGAAGGTGAGGAGAGGGGTGAGTTAAACTACCTATTAAGCACTATGCTCACTGCCAGGGTGACAGGACCTGTACTCCAAACCTCAGCATCATGCAATATTCTCATGTAACAAATCTGCACATGAACCCCCATATATAAATAAAAGCTGAAAATTAAAAAAAAAAATGAGGAAAACTTAAAGACAAAGAGGAAATCTTAAAAGAAGCAAGAAGAAAAATAACTTTTCCATTGAAGAATAATGGTAAGAATTACAAGCAGACTTCTCATTAGAAACCATAAAAGCATTAAGAGAGAGGAGTAAAATATCCGAAATGTTGAAGAAAGAAAAAAATAACAGCTCCAAATTTTATATCCACTAGAATTATCCTTCAAATAAGAAGGAAAGATAAAGACTTTCTCAGACAAACAACAAATGAGAGAACTCATCACAACAAACCTGGCAAAAAATAAATGTTAGAAGAAATTCTTCAAAAAGAGGGGGAAAAGGATGTAAGTCAGAAACTCAAATCTACATAAAGAAAGAAAGAGCATCTGAGAAGGAATAAATGATAAAATGAAAAAACAAAACATACACACAAATATGTCTGCTTGAAGAATGAATAACAGGCTGGGTACGGTGGCTCACACCTGTAATCCCAGAACTTTGTGAGGCCAAGGTGGGCTGGTCACCTGAGGTAAGGAGCTCGAGACCAGTCTGGCCAACATGATGAAACCCCATCTCTACTAAAACTACAAACATTACAAACATTAGGTGGTGGGTACCTGTACCCCAGCTACTCAGGAGGCTGAGGCAGGGAGAACTGCTTGAACCCAGTGGGCAGAGGCTGCAGTGAACCGAGATCACACCACTGCTCTCTAGCCTGGGTGACAGAGCAAGACTCCATCTCAAAAAAAAAAAAAAAAAAGAATAACAGATTACATGAATAAATGAATAAAATGAATAATGAAAGAAATAATGCAGCAAATACAGTCATTTCTCATTATTCACAGTAATTATATACTATGAAGTTACCTCAAACACTGAATTTAGCAGCATATACTGAACCACTGCTCCTAGGGGCAACACAGGGTTAGGTTCCTTGGTGCCTCTGGTCACAACATTTTCATCAACCATTAAATACATAAACTTGTGTTGTATGTGTATCTCTTTAAAGATACCTTATTTAGTATATACCGTTGATTCATTAACACTGAACTCACATCAACAGCACTATAACCATGCCTGTATGAAGCTTATC